TAAAAAAGTAGGAAGGAAGGAAGGAAGGAAGAAAGAAAGAAAGAAAGAAAGAAAGAAAGAAAGAAAGAAAGAAAGAAAGAAAGAGGAAGAGGGAGGGAGAGAATTAAAAGAAAGAAGTGGAAGGAAATAAATAGCTCTTCCTCATCTGCTTTTTCGTTTATTTCTGATTCTGGAGTTGCTTCCTGCTCTTTGTGGTCAAGTGTGTTAGTATCGCAGAGTATATAATCTTTGCATTTTACTTTGCTTATGTAAATAACTTCTATCAAGCTAAGAAATTAACCATAAAGATGAGAGAAGATTGTGACTAGAAAATTTACCCAATGATCAGTATTCTGATATTGACTTAATTTTTAATTATGTATCTCAGTGCTGAGTGTTTATATCACAAATGCTGCCAAGTACCTAGCATGCAAAAGAAGATTACCTTGCAAAGTGAACTCTTTCTCTTCCTTAAAATTTGTGAATGGATAGCTTTAAGTGGGGGTTAGGAGTTCAGAGATAAGACAAACTGCTGGAGAACTGAGTGGTTTGTGAGGACCCATCTGAACTGAAGCTGAGCCCTGAACTATGGGAGAATCATAACTGATGTGTGGAGATCCATGTGTTTGCCAGGGCTAAAAGTAAACTCAAACAGGATACAGTTTCAGATGGGGAAAGAGAATCTTAAGGAGGAAACTAATGTATTACTTTCAGGCTTGAATTAGACTTTGATGTAATGATGAGTGTAGTAAAAATGGTTTAGTGACATTATGTGTGTTGAACCTAAATAAAATGAGTGTATGCCTGGATTCTTTTCCTTTGTGAACCATGTCTTGATTGAAATAGAAAACAGTGGTGAGTAAGATATACATCATGGAGCAGGAGTCTAGTATTATATTGGTCTTTATAAACTCCTCTTCCTGATCTGGGTGATATTCCTTGCCTCACCTTACTTATTAGGGATTATGATCCACATTATTCCCTATCTCAGAATTATTAGGACTACTAAATTATTACCATAAGTGAAGCACTTTGCACATGTATGCTGTCAGTGCATGTCAGTTATTGTTGCTTCTGCTATGATTATTATTAATTCCTGCTATTTCATAGAGGGTATAACTGAAATATGCATGTATTATACCACTGTGAACAAAGTACACACATCACTGTTACCAGGGAAAATGGGATTCCTGGCTGGGTTCTAAGTCTTGTTGATAAAATACCTTAGAGAGAGACTAAGAAGGAAGCTTAAGCACAACTTTATTAGACATTGAGAGAAAAGGAAAGAAATGTAGGTCAGCAAGCAACCACATGTCAGAAAGAGCCGCGGGGTAGAATGATTGGGCTGGTTTTATACGAAAAGAGTAAGAAGTGTCTGGGAAAGCATGTCTACACTTTTGCCAGTATCAAAAATAATTTCATAATTATGGGTCCTGTTCGGATTTTATCACCCATGTATTTTCAGTTCATGAAACAGAACTGGTCACTACTTAATAAACATTTTAATAAAATAATACCTTTAAGTGGTAATAAAATGTCAGTAGGAATTAAAATAAGGATGACAATCATAGAAGCTGACAATACTTTCTGCTTTCAGCCACATATTCATGCTCAAGAAGTTATCTGGTGGGGGGGTTGGGGTAATTGCTTACAAATAATCAATGCACTCTTCCTGACTAACATATTTGTAGGTAAGACCTGAAGTGGTCAATCATTACCATGAAATTGACCTGGAATAAAATTCAAGAATAGTTACAGGAGAAAAATATGGAGCATAAAATATAGTAAATTACAATATCTGCCTCCTACATATCATATTCTTAAAGTCTATGTCCAGTATAAAAGGCAAGAGTTGCAAATTAAAAGGATCCATATTTCAGAAAAAACTTTATTCATAAACCTGTTTGTGCCTATGTAGATATAAGATGAAGGCAACAAAATTTTCTCTAATTTGTGAGTGTATATAGTAAGATAACAAGTTTGTAGAAATGTCATATATATATATGATATAAATGTCATATATATCAATTATAAAGGTACTGAGACTCTATAATATTTGTAGACTAACAACATAGCTTATCTTACTTTCACAGAATTTGGAATGAAGGGATGAAAATCCTCAAAAAGAGGAAGTTAGAAAAATCTCAATAGCCTGCATCCCAACTCCTATTGTGTAATATGAAGAGGGTGAGACAACTCATATTTTTATTGTCAGTTTTATGGCTAAAAGGAACAGCAAACTAAATGAGAATCAAGCCCACATAAATGTTTACTGAAGTAAAACATTTTCTTTACTAAGCTGGACAGTAAAGTAACCTATTTACTAAGATGAAGAGTTACTGTCCTGTGATCCAAGAAGAAGATACAAGTATCTTTCAAATGTTGCAAATGTGTTTCACAGTAAATGGCAGTCAGTGCTTTAGTTTGTAAGAAAGAAAAAAAAGAAAAAGAAATAGTGCAAACCAGGAAATGCATGGGAGTTGTTTTTTACTACATGTTATTACAGAAAAAATTAAAAGCCAGATCATTTAAAAGTTTAAATATTTCTCTGTCCAATTTCAAATCAGTATGTATCACTTATACATTACAACACTCCATTAAACAAAAAGTAAAGAAATTTTAGGTTATTTTTTATTCATGGGTGAAACAATCAATACCATTACAAAGTAAAATCTAATCTCATTTATCTATAGTTCCATGGCTGTTCCACTCAAAACTTTTACAGGCTTTATGGTAGTAGTCATTCAGAAACTCTAAAATCCATACACAAAAAACTCATTATGCAAAAAGAGTCTATGAGATTATTACTATTTGAGTGTTATATTACACAATAAGTCACCAGTATCAAGAAAGAAAATTAGATACCAGGTAGTTCAGAAATAGAACCTAACATATATCTAAAATAATCTTTTTCTTCAGAGATTTCTTTGAAAGTTACATAAAATTTCAGTAGGGGAAATCCAAGGACCTTCCAGAAAATGCTACCTAAGCCATTGTCTATTTATGCACGAACTCTGATATGTATCTTGGACCATATATAAATTCACAATGGCATCATCACCATGCTGAAAGCAGTTGATTCTCTGGATGTTCTAGACCAATTTTGCAAGCATCAGTGAATTTAGTTTAGGAATTCAACACAATGGCTAAATTATAATCCACAAAGATTTTCATTTTTTTTCTCTAAAGATACTTTAAAGTAGAAAAGGGAATAGTGTGTCTTGTGTTTATATTTCCACTATCTTTCCAGAATATACAAAGGCTCCTGAAAACGTAATTTTATACAGCTCAATAAAAACTAAGAGAATATGGAGAAAATGTTAAGCAACATTAATATACAGATTACAGATGAGATTTGGGGAAACTGGGGAGGAATACAGGAAACCTGTGGAAATCAAGGGGGCAAAATGATCATTATTGTAGTTATGTGATATTTTCACAGGTGTAGCTATATGTGTACATAAAGTTTTATATATACCAAACCTCAAATTTTTACAGATTATGTACTTTAAATACATGCTATTCACTTATTTATTATATTATGATATCCATATCAAACAAAGGAGAAAACCTGTCAGTTTATGTATTCTACAAATTCACATATGCTAGGTCATGGGTATTAGAATTAATCCTTTATATGTCTAGAGCATGCTAAATGTAAACACCCATATAACACATTTCTCATTCACTACTAAATAAGGAGGTATAGTAAAAATTAAACAGTGACTCCTCACAGCAGAGTTTCCTCTTTCATAGCAACTTCCTGCCTTGCCTTATGTTCTAGTGTTAGAACTCGTTTTAGAATGAGGAATTAAGTCTTAATAGAGAGGTAACCCATTTACCAAAGCTATATTAAAAACAATGCATAATATTATTTTAATGTTATATACTACTATCTTGAAATGACTTTAATATGTGTTCTAATAAGAATCTGCACTGGTAATCATTATGAAATATGTCACCAAGCATATTTTTGCATAAACTTGCTATGTTATATTTAATTGTTATTGCTATTCTATTTTTACCAATTTCCCTAGTTTAGTTTTGCTTATTTTTAATGTTTTTCTCTTAAATTGCATGCTCATTATAAGAACCATTAAGATTTTTTAAAATGAAGAAACACTGAATTTGACATTTAAATGATATTTAACATGCACTAAATGTATAGATGTACGGTTCTTTCCTTTTAACAAACACGAAGTCATTTCAGAGGGTGAGAGATAGCTCAGTGCAGAAGAGTGCTACTTTCTGCAGAGGACCAGACTTAGA